ATGGCGCCACAGGTAAGTATCCCTGGCCTCCACCACTCTCTCTCTCTCCAACGCTACTCTAAGATCATAACAGCGCCCAGCGCTGAAGACTACTCCTAGCGCTACTACTACTACTGCAGCGTTCCTGCCGAGTGCTGCTGCCGAATCCTGAAGACTCCCTCCTGCCGAGTGCACGTGAAGTGCCCGTGAACTGCCTGGGAAGTCCCCGTGAACTACCTGCAGTCTGCAGGGCGGGCCAGTACTATATAGTGCTGGCCCGTCCGGAAGGCTGCTCTTGCCAATGCCGAAGCATGCCAGACCCTGGCGTTGAAGTTCAAACAAAGGTTGGCCCAAAAATGGCCGGTGCTAAACCCTGGTCTGGCGCCTAAGTTTCAGGGCAGGTCGACTTTATGAGGGCCTGAAAATGGCCCTCCTTTTCAGGCTTTTAGGCTGAAACGACACAAGGCCTGCGGGGCCCTTATTTTCCGTCTGGCCGGGCCCTGCAGGCCCGTGTGGATGCGCAGTACGCCACACCTACCCTGTGGTTTTGCTGTGTGTATAGTGGTGAGCATTTCTGAAGAGCCGGTAGCGCAGTCTAACAGGAACATGCCTTCATTCACAGAAGGGATCATGCAGACCACCAGACGGCTCAACCGATAACATTAAAAGCAAAGACAGAACAAGGACCCAAACATTCACAACCAATAAAAACAAGGGGCTCATTCATAACTTCCCTCCCCTTCCCCACCCACAATCATATTCCTTAAGGGGGCTTCTAAACCATCAGTCCTAAAAGTCATGGCAAAACGCAAAGCTGACAGCAATACATTCCCCTGCCCGCTTTCAGATTGGCATTCAAGTCGAATCAAGCGGCCCTCCTCACCGTTTCCCGGTATCCGCAGCCTCCTGGTTAACCGGCAGATCACGAGGAGGTAGGTACTCGTGGTTTGAACCACCCTAGACCTTCAAGCCATTTTTTGCCGAGGCGGAAAAGAACTGCAAGCCAAGCTTTGCCGAAGCGCCAGCGTGGCAATTTCTTTTTTCCCCTCCCTTTTGGCTGCCACCACCGGCCATTGTGATTTGGTAGCACTGTTTTCATCCAAAGAACCTGCGGAATGTTTCATTTTCGATTCTCGATGATGCCTGGGAAAGGTGGTGGTGGTTTAAAACTTTAAGGCTGTGTAGCACACCGAACATGTTCGGGGCTTTCCTGAACGCCCTAAAATGTTCGGCCGGACGCCTCCCGAACGTGTTCGGTCAAACGTATTTAAAAATAAAACAATAATGACAATAAAAAAAAAAAGTTTTTTTTTTTTTTTTAACTCAGTTTGGTTACGGCTTTGAGGGCAAAGTTGTTTGTATTATTAATTTATTATGTTGCATAACATCTTTTTTCTTCCCAGATTTTTTCTGAGAACGTTTTTTTTTTTTTTTTATCTTCGCGTTCGGAGGGTTTTGGCACTCGTTCGCGTTCGTTCGGGTTCGGTCACCGATTGCAAACACGATGCTACGCAGCTTTAAGGATGGTGTTAGACCACCAGTCGACACGAACCTATGTTGTGGTCTGATACAGGGTAAGAGGATTTCGATTGGGGCCTGGGCTGGTGGCATACGCCGCAGTCCATTAGAGCTCAGAAAGCACTTGAAAAAAAAAAAAAAAAAAAAAAAAGAAGAAGAAGAAGAAGAAGAAGAAGAAGAAGAAGAAGAAGAAGAAGACAAAGCTGCAGGCCACTTTGAAAAGGAGCAGTTGCAGGCTTGCATGTATTGGAAGGTAGCTTCATCAACTTAGGCTCATGTGAACTGGTGGTTTAAGCCATCAGGACGTTTGCCAGCCATTTTTTCAAAGTGGCGGCCGGCATGCTGCCACAACTTTCGGCGCTCAGACGCGGGAGCAAAATGGCCGGCAGCACCAGCCAAACCGATGTCCGTGCAGGGCGTTTGTAGCCCCTCGCAAAACTGCCTCGGAAGTATTTTGGTGCTTTAAGCTGGCAAACACAGAAGCAGACATCCCTGCACCCCTCCCCCCCCCCCCCCCCCCCCCCCCCCCCCCCCACGAACAAGCATTCTTGTATGTTATGATGCATGACACAGCATGGGAGCAGAGAGGTAAAAGTAGTGATACCTGGTGACCGTGCTGACATCTCGCGGGTTTCTCCTGTACCTCCATATCTTCGAAACCCACTCCGGCTCCGTCGTGCAGATGGTGTGTGGGCGCGACGAGTGCCTGCTGGGTGTGCACAGCAGAATTGCAAACAGCCGGGCCCGGCAGAGCGAATAAAAATCCATTAATGAACAACGATCCATTGTTCAACAATTCAAATGTCATGCATGACCTTGGTCCAACTCATCAGCCTAAATTACCTACGGTAAAAAACTACCTGGGTTCAGTAACGATTCGACCATGGTAACCGCCCGGACATCCGGACCGGGTTCCAGACAGTCCGGTGTCCGGTGTCTGGACAATATGTCTGGATTGAGGCCTCTGGGGCAAAAATCAAAAAAAAAATTGGGGCGGCCCAGG